GTATACGGCGCTTATTTTACCAAATTGTTCCTGGTAAAATACGTGTGCTGCATTATAAATTTCACTTTTATTATTAATATTAAATGAAAGATCATATTGTTTGCTTTCAGAAAATACTTAGTTTCATGGGGTTCAGATAAACTTTCCTTGATATTTTGTTCAGATGATAAATCATTTTTTTTCATTTTACCTACTTTTACCGCAAAAAACATATGAAAATCCATTTTTTTCAGAGAAAATAGGCTGTGACTTTTACTATGTTTGATTATTATTATTGGGGATATAAATTTTTTATAATAGATCTGAATTGAATTTATTTAAAGGGGTCTCTATGGGTCCTCAAACAGCAGTGCAGCACTTGTATCTTAATTATTTTTTTATAGTATTTATAATTTCTCCAGATAGTATCAACAAACTTATGGTGAAAGCTACAGTACTAAAAACACACAAAAAAAAAAAACCAAAGAAAATTGGAATGCTGAAAGTTTTTTTACTTTAATTATTACAAGGTACTACTTAAGCAAGTTCACTTAAAAAAAAATAATATGTCCATCCTGTCCTTCCGTATGAGAACTCGAATCTCACGTCAGCTGTCAATAATTTAAACGTCATCAATCAGCACTTGTCAATCGCCGGCGATGTTGAGATTTGCTCCCTTTATTTTAAACAACATTTTTCTTCGAAGAAAGTAAATTAAAGTTTCTTTCAAAATATTTTAAATAAACTTTAAATTTCCTAATTTTCTTTGAATAAATTTTGAAAAAAACATAATTAAATTTTTAAACGATTTTTTAAACGCAGAATTTAACTTATTTTCAAAATTTCTTTCTTGGCTGATACCGAGTTTTTTTGTTTGATATTTCGTAAAAAAAGATTTTAACTAAAATTTCGGACATGCTAAGAATGATGAAAAAATTTCAAAAAATATTCAAAAGATACTTTAGTGTTTCTTCTCAATAATGAAATATACATTTAACACGAAGAAAATGTTTTTTCATTAATTTTCAGGCCGTTCTTGTCATGTTATCGATTTTCATGGAGGTGCCTATGTTATTACTATTGACATTAGTTAGTTAATCGCAATTTAAATGTGTAAATATTGACTTGCATGAAGAAAGTTTATACAGCGTATCCATAAAGTTCGTGTTCACTTTAAAAAAATTATAACTTTATTTGTATTTGCGATAGAAATAAATTGTAAAAAGGCTTAGAAAGAAGCAAATCTATATTTTTTAAGATTTTATTGAAATTTTTATAAGTTTCCACATGTCCTCCATCATTAGCAATACAAAGGGTAATACGATTTTGCAGTTCACGGAAAACATTTGCCAACTGATTTACAGTAATGCCTGAAATCACATTAGTTACTTTCGCGATACTTAAAACTAGGTACATTAAAATTTATAACATTTTTTTACAGATTATTTCTATCGTAAATATAAATAAAGTTTTAAATTTTTTATAGTGCACACGAACTTTATGGACACCCTGTATAGGGTACTATGAAATGTTATTAAAAGATTTTATTTCCTACTAGCAGTAGAGCCCGGCGTTGCCCGGGGATGTAACAGTAAGAGATAGATCAAGTATCGACCATCATAAAGACTGAAAAATAAAATTGACAAAGATTATTGTTTAAGGTTGACGGACACGCATGTCTTAATTAGTTTTTTTTTTGTTTTTTTTGAATTGGTCAAACCCAAACTCAAACAAAACATTGTTTTCAATCGTTATGAGTCTCTACCGATTGAATAGAATTTTATTATAAACAATTGTCTTGTAAATGGAATTTTAAAAAGCATTCTGAATGTAAAATAAAAGCAAAAAAAACTGTGCAAGACAAAAAAAACACTACCTGCCAATAAAAAAAAAAAAAAAAATGAGGTTTTGTTGAAATCGGTTGAAAATGTAGGAAATCCGATCCCAGATATATAAACAAACACACACGCACACAAATAACCTGGTTTTTATAATATAAGTATAACTCGATATGGAGTTGTCCCCTTTCATTCTCGTGATGCCTCTTAATCGTGTTTTTCAAATTGATTTCGTTACAAAAACAATTGTGTTTTCAATTTTAGCGCTATTAGAACCACCACAAGGTAATTTTACGTAGTCCTGTGAAGTTTTTGTTCAAATCGCTTGAAAAATGTAGGAAATCCGATCAATATATAAACGTACAGACACACACACACAATCTACGTTTTATAATAAGTAAGATTTACTAATCAGTATATAGCAAGCATCAGCTTAAACTAAAAACCCATCTCGAATGACGAGACGTCAACAAATTCTCGGCAAAAGTGACAATCGAAAACAGACAGGTTTTTCAATAAAGAAACACACATCTACGTACACATTCTTCCATCGTTTGATCTTTGCTTTAATTTCGTAAATATTATTTTTTGCTTCGTTTCAAAGTTGTTCTTTAAAACAATATTGGGTAGAGGGAAATAAAAGAGAACGAAAGAGAGAGAGAGAGAGAGAGAGAGAGAGAGGATTAAAGAAAAAAGGACAGAGTCCAATTGTCGACATCCTGTTATTTAAACGTAAATGAAACATAAATAAATAAAAGAAAAACAAACAAAACAACGCAATAATCAAAGCAAGATGTCTTCCCTTTGGTTACGAGAAAGTTTCCTGCCGGCATGCAAACCAGAAACTTGTATGTTCCTTCAGACAAGTTGACGACAAGTCACAGCTTTGGCAAAATGACTTCTACGCCGCTTCCGAAGGGAACAGACGTTGTTTATCAAATATCTTTTTTTTTTCGGCTGCTGCTGCCGTTATAGACTTTCTGTTGTAGCGGGGTTCCTGTCATAATAGCTCCTGTTGTCAGAGTAATAATTCCGTTTGTCCTTTGTTAGTTAGCAAGTACATTGTACCCTGACGTCTTAGAGCAGGGGTCGGCAACCTTTTGGAAAAAAGAACGGGTCAGAAAGCTGTGTAGTGTCTCAGTGAAGGGTCAGAATATCAAATATATTATAATAAATTGTCTCGACTTCAGACTCCTCCGTTCAGAATGTTGCCTTGGTCTGGAGGATTAAAGAAAAAACAAAAAAGTTAATCTTATATTATTTAAACAAGGTTCCTTATTTTACTGCAAGAATAACAGGATGGCAAATAAAATTATGAAAAATTTCTCAGTTGTAGAAAAAGAGACAATATTTATAAATGTAAAAGACAATAGGAAAACCGTAATAGTTACCGACGCGTTTCGTCCAATGTGCACTTTTTCAAGTCGAAATGAAATCAATTTATTAAACAAAGTAACTAATAATAACAAAACAAAATGTCCTTAGTAACTGGAATAATTTAGAGAACACTATTTTCATACTGTTAACTGAAATTACGTCATTTACTGTCACGTGTGGAGATATTGTTTTTATTGCTGTATTGACGGATTCAACAATTTTTTTGATACTGTTCTGTACGTTTGCTTGGGAGAGTACTAATTCTGTTAAGAAAGGTGAAATAGGGAAAAAGCCTGGGCGTAGATTAATATTTGGATAATATTCAATGGTGGCACTCTCTAGGATTTTCCTTCTGAGTGAGTTATTTTCTTTTTTTATGAGTGTAGCATTTTTAAAATCAAAATTGTGGTTGAATTTATTTTTATGTATGACTATTGAATTAGCGAAGTTATTGATTGTGAGGTCTCTTTTGTGTTCATAAATGCGTATTTTTTTTATTTCTACTTGTTTCTCCAATATATTGGGAGGAACAGTTTTCGCAATTTATTTTATCAATACCTGCTTTAGAAAATGATTGATTCCGTCAACACAGCAATAAAAACAATATCTCCAAAGACACAGACTAAATTCCATGAAGATTTTCAACAGCAGCAACAACTAAAATGGATAGCACATGGAACCCGAAGAGCAATAATGACTTAATTAAGATGTTCATGTTTCATTCGATTTCAAAGTAAAAATTTAGGAAGGAAACAATTCATCAATAAAGGAAAGAGCGATAACAGCTACTGGACTTGAGAAAACTATTTTTCTGAAAAGGTTAGGAAGGTAGACTCCATCTATACTGGAAAGAGCAATAACAGCTACTGGACTTGAGAAATTTATTTTCCTGAAGACGTTATGAAGGTAGCCTCCATCTATACTGGAAAGAGCGATAACAGCTACTGGACTTGAGAAATTTATTTTCCTGAAGACGTTATGAAGGTAGCCTCCATCTATACTGGAAAGAGCGATAACAGCTACTGGACATGAGAAACCTATTTTCCTGAAAAGGTTAGGAAGGTAGCCTCCATCTATACTGGAAAGAGCGATAACAGCTACTGGACTTGAGAAACCTGTTTTCCTGAAAAGGTTAGGAAGGTAGCCTCCATCTATACTGGAAAGAGCGATAACAGCTACTGGACATGACAAAACCTTTTTTCCTGTATACTATAGTATGTATACATTCGGCCAGTAAATACCGAATGTTTCCATATAAAGTGATGGCTAATCTCGGCATTACTTCAGACTAAAAATCAAGAACACGATATATTAAAGATTTATTTTGTTTTAGCGAAAAAAGTAAGAAAGAAGAAAGCATATTTTATAAATATTAGAATATTGTAGATTTATATTGAAACAAAAAATATCGTATTATTTCTTTAATAAATTAATAATAATGGAAACCTTTATTAAATTGAATTAATAAAAGTGCATTATAAGTCCTGCCATTGCCTAAGGTAAATAAGAGACCGTTCCGTTTAGATTGTTAGGTTAAGTGAGAAAAGAAAGCACACATGCTAATAGAAAAGAAAGAAAGAAAAAGTAAATGGTTTGAAAACAAAGAAAGAAGGAAATTTGGTGGGAAATCAATAAATGCTATGCCGTTGAAAAGAGAGAAAAAGAATGAAAGAAAAATATGCAAAAACCGTGAAAAGGAAGGAAAAATAAATAAATAAATAAATAAATAAAAAATGAAAGAAAGAAAGAAAGAAAGAAAGAAGGAAAGAAAGAAATATTGTTAATGGATAATGAGAAATACGTAAGTTAAAGAAAGAAAGAAAGAAAGAAAAGAAAAGAAGAAAGAAAGAAAGAAAAGAAATATTGGTAATGAATAATGAGGAAATACATATAAGAAAAAGAAAGAAAGAAAAAAAGAAAGAAAAAAGAAATATTAGTAATGGATAATGAGGGAAATACGTCAGTTAAAGAAAAAAAAAAAAAGGAAAGAAGGAAAGAAAGAAAGAAATATTGGTAATGGATAATGAGTAAATACGTAAGTGAAAGAAAGAAAGAAAGAAAGAAAGAAAGAAAGAAAGAAAGAAGGAAAAGGAAGGAAAGAAAAGAAATATTGGTAATGGATAATGAAAATACGTAAGTGAAAGAAAGAAAAGAAAAGAAAAAGAAAAGAAAGAAAGAAAGAAAGAAAGTAGACACACCAACTAATTTATTTTAAGGTATGATTCCTCACACTCAGAATCCAATAATTTCGTTCTAGTCTTCCGCGATCATAATTTATAGTCAGTATCTAATGGCATTTTCTTGTGTTATTTCTGGTAGCATTCGTACAGGAATCCCTGCAACTTGACACAACAAGAAGTCACCTGGGTGGCAAGCGGGGGGCGGGGTATGGACGTTAGCTACCCGTTTACACATGATTACGCAAAGTTTATGTAAATATGCTTAGACAATATATCGGTACAAATAACAAGGAATACACCGAGATCATTTTTTCTTGGGGGTTTGTGTTGTACTTGGGTAGATTTACAGAGAAAGAGAGAGAGAGAGAGAGAGAGAGAGAGAGAGAGAGGGAGGTAAAAAATAAGACAACTGAAAATCGTAACAGAAAGGGAAAAACGAAGAAAGAAAAGAAATATAGAAAAGGCAATTTGAAATGAGGGAAGAAACAAATATAAAAAGAAAAAAGAAAAGAAATTAAAGAAAGAAAGAAAGAAAGAAAGAAAGAAAGAAAGAAAGAAAGAAAGATAGATAGAGAGAAAAGGCAATTTGAAATGCGGGAGGAAACGATTGTAAAAAAAAGAAAAGAAAAGATTAAAAAGAGAAAGAAAGAAAGAAAGAAAGAAAGAAAGAAAGAAAGAAAGAAAGAAAGAGAGAAAGAAAAGTACAAAGAAGAAAGGTAGAAAAGGCAATTTGAAATTCGGGAGGAAACAAATATAAAAAGAAAAAATAAAAGAAAAAAAAGTAAAGAAAACCCGAAATAAAGAAAGAAAGAAAGAAAGAAAGAAAGAAAGAAAGAAAGAAAAGAAAGAAAGAAAGAAAGATAGAAAAAAAAGAGGAAAAAAGATAAGATCAAAAAAGATAATTTTTTCAAAAATGTATTGCCAGTACTTTTTAAAAAACTATATATTTCTGTTAATATTTTTTATTAGAAACGTATATATATACATATGTTTTTATACTTTCACAGTGTTTCGGCGGTTAACTATTTGTTCATAGATGGGACCCTAACAGGTGCTGGGTCAGGGTAGAGCAGCAATTAAGATGTGGTTCCACACTCATTAAAACTTCCCGATTACAGGTCTTGCTGCCCGATGTAGAGAAAAGATGGATGCATACCTTTCCCCAAAAGTTATAGCATGTAAATTAATGTAATGAGCTTGACTTGAATTCGAAATCGACTCTCCAAATCCGCAGTCCGAGTCGCTATCCATTACTCCACCGTGCCTCCTTGAAATAAAGCAATTAAAGAAAAAATAACAAAGTTTGAAATCGTCGTGTATGCTTGTTTGTTTCGTTCACCAATAAAATGGCATTTGAAGTGGTCTCTCCACTTCAACATGAAAACTATGTCGAAAGAAATGGTCTGATATTGAAATGAAAATCCAATTCTGACGGAAAGCAAAATAAATGAAAAAAAAATAATCAGATGAAAGAAAAGTTTAAAGCCTTGGGAATCTCGTAGCAACAACAATAAACACAATGTTCTTAATAATACGCCTGTAGTGTTTGAAGTAGATACAATAGAGACGTTGGATGAAAACATTTTAATTGAAGTTTCTCATTCTTTATTTTCTACAAAGACTAAGGAACCAACAACCAGACCCTAAACCCGATGAAGTGTTGCCTCGAATGCCTACTGAGGCTAAAACTCTCTCCCGATCTTAAATCACGTATATTCGTGTCATCTCAAAAGATCTTTAAATTTAATTAAAAAAAAATAAATGAAAAAGCGTTCTTAAAGCTTTCATTTTAGATTTAATTGAAAGCTAAAGGATTAAATTTACTATTTCAAACAGAATCGATTTTAATTTTGTTTTCGGTACCATCGTAAAAATCTTCCATTTTTGAGACATTTGCAAACACAAGTTATTTCTCGGTTTTAAAAATCTTCCAAAAATAAAATATGCTTTTCTGAAACTATATGTGAGGAATATTAGCTGATTAAACGTATAATTAAACTGATGTGAAACAAGTATTATTTTAGGAACCTTCATGAGATTGCTAAACGATAAAGTTTTGTTAGACGATAAAGTTTTGTTTTTGTCAAGTTTGGCGTCTTTTTCGTCATGCTATGCTCTTTTTTAGC